GGTTTAGATCAAAACATTCATGTGCTGGCATGTGGCCCGCTTAAAGTTTAGATCCGGGTTTGATGCCAAATCTGCAGCAAGACTTTGCAGTTGTAATTTATCAGGACTGAGCATCTTAATCTAATTTAAATTCCATTCCTGCTGAAAAATTCATACACAACCTCAATAAGTCCCCGTTTAGCACAGAGTCGTATTTGGATCTGAGATGCTTTTTAATATTTGATTGTGACTTTCTTTATCAGTCAGTCCTGTAGACTCGTTATGTTAGGTCAAACCCAGTCTGCAGACATTGAAGATGATTCCTCATTCCTTAGACTGGTTGTGTGTTTCCACTCCCACAGACAGCTCACTTGGTTGTAATTAAAACCTCAGAGCAGAACAATACTTCTAGCACCACAACAATAAATTATTATTCTTTGTCTCTGGTTTTGTTCCCTATTCCTTTCAGTCTTGTCTTGCTGCAGATGTTATCTCCGCAGGAAAATGTCATGATTTCTGATAGGAGGCAGAGTGCCTGAACATAACTTAATTTGACTGAATCAAGACTTGGTCTCATGCTGCATTTATGTTGGTTTTCCTATCAAACCTCTTGCAAGTAAAAAAACAAGGAGGGAGTGATCTCTTGTAGCCCATATTAATGGGATCCTATGTTCTTTTTTTATCTGAAAATTAAGAGATTCAGTCAACAGTCAAACAGAAGACACCAACATTGCAGATCCTGGATAACCAATCCATACCACTGGCACTGCAGCTTTGTAGCTCAGTAAATGGGTGGCTGTTTTTGGTAAGCAAATGAAGTCGCTGCTGCAGACCACCTGGAGCTATAGCTAAACTCGGAACAAAATGTGTTTTTTCTGCTTTGTGCCTTTAGTTGTTGTTATTGTGCTGCTCGTGTTTGTCTATAAATAATCAAAAACACCAAAGGTGAAATAAAAAGTTTAGAAAATTTGGTCAGATGAGAACTTTGTCACACAGTAGTGCAAAGTTAGGGTTCATGACAACATAGGATCAAATTGCATAACATTAAATTCAACCAAAAATGTATTGCAATCTTATGAGGGGGGGGGGGGTATATATATTCAATATATATTCATGCTTTGTCTCCCTGTTTACTGCTGAAAAATGATGGAGAACATGAAGATGATTTATTTTACCTCTTGATTTTCTCTTTATATTTGAAAAATATAGCAGGACAAATCTTTTCTTCTCCTTTGGGACCCCCCCTCAATTAAGGGACCTTAGAATCGTCCTAACTTTCCCCCCCCATATGATGCCCCTGAGCAGCAGTGTGATAAAAACGTCCGTGGCTGAAAAATGCAGCGCCTTAAATCTGGATTTCAAAAATGGAGAGAAAGGAAGAAGAAAGAGGAGAGAGAGAGAAGGCGCCCGATACCTTGACCCAGTTATTCTGCCCTCTCTTTTCTTTCAGAAAGGTTTGTTAACTGAATAGTTCAAATTAACAATAGATTATTAACCTGTTGAGTATAATTAGACATCTATCTGCTGGGTACAACTAAGTAGTTATTCTTCTTCAACGTCAGAGGGGAATCACATCATTAATGATGCTGCTCAGCTTGGTGCTGTCTGAAACGGAACATGATTGCAATTTTTTTTTTTTTTTTGATTCGTTTTTAATTTTTAAGAAAAATCTAGAATTAATCCAGCATTTATTGTGATTCTGTAAGAAACAAAAAGGCCAAACAACTAAGCCAGAAATCTCCCAGAGCTGAGAATTTACATTTACCAAGCAGACCAGGCTACAGTAAAAAACCATAGTTATCAGAGGTTAAACATTAGCTAAACGCTTGTAGATGTTTAAAATGATATTTTCATTAAATCAAATCTCTGTCAATATTAAAACAGTTTAGTTAGATTTTTATATTCAGATTAAATTACAACAATTAAAAGACATCTATAAATCTTGATCATTCTCATGAGCAGCCTGAAGCAGCCACATTAAAAATACATGTTTTGTCATTACACGCACAGATTAATGAAAAATAAGTTCTCAGGGCAAGCATAAAAGTTGAGGGCCCAATACCCATGTCTTTCATGGGGCCCCAAATTCCTGGCGCCCTCCCTGCCTAGGCTTGATCCCTGTGGTACAAGGTAGGTGGTACTGTAGTTGTTTCCTTATGTAGTTTCACTTTTGCTGTGTTAACAGCTATACATTTTTCCTTCCACTAATTTTCTAATATGCTTATACACTGGAAAAATTTTTAAATCTCAGTAAGTCATTTTTTTCTTAAAATAAGGGCATTTTTTTCTTGAACTGGGGAGGTAAGTGTGAAATTTTGCCAATGGAACAAGACAATTTACATTTCAAATAAGACATTATTTAATTATCTTATTTTAAGAGTGAAAATACTCACCCCATTGGCAGATCATCTTATTTTTCTACTCAAATTAGGAGTAAAAACACCTAATTTAAGAAATTTTGACTTATTTCTAGGTCGTTTTTGCAGTGTATGGACATTTATGACAGCAGTCAACTTTCTTAGCAATAGCTTATGTGATTTTTTTTTTTTAATCACTTCTGCTTACCTTATCAAGGCTGCACATAAAAAAATTAAATAGTGTAGAGTGCTGATCTTAACGAAATTTATTTGTTTAAACTTGTGCATACAAAATGAAAAAATAAAGTCTAAGTCTCTATTTACCTTCCAGCTAGAGAGTATTATTTGATCAGCATCAGCTGGACGACTATAAGTAGTCCTTCCCAAGATTGTGTTAGCTATAATATGGTTCAGCTTCCCTAATTAACATTTTATGTTAGTTTATTTTATTTTATACTCTGATTTCAAGATCAACAGCAATAAAATCTTTGAAATTCTATACAATGCATATTAAACATGAGAATTCCAGCTTGTTGCAATTTAACTCACAGAAATCTTATAAATGTAAATTCAGAAAAACCCCATTGTTTGTTCAGTGATGTTTATGGGAAATTTACTGCATTTTGAGGATACAGCTGTAAACAAAGCATCAGGTGTCACAAACATGCCTTGGTTTACAATATATGGGATTTTCACAACTCAACTCAATGTCTATGATGTTTCATACATTTGTGTTTCATGATTAATTTCTAAGGCACTTTTAGGCGGTTTATGTGCATTTGTCATTCCATGTGTAATTTTGTTGAAAAGCTTTTAGATTACCGTAGATATGTGTATAAAATATTAAAGCGTTGATAGAGCATTACCTTAACCACTTAGATTGTTTTAGAAACCTTGTTATGGAGTTTAGACACAATTACAAACATTTTATTAGAAATTTGTTGAGCCTTATTATGGTCAAGAGCTTCCTAGAAACCATAATTTGATTTGCTTTATATTGGTTATTCTGTCAACTCATCACAAAACTTTTACTTTTCTGTGTTAATGATCAACATTCAAAGTCTTCTGTAAAACAATAAGATCAGCAGAAAATAAGGTAAACCCAGAGAAAATCTGATCTTAAAGCCAAGTGGCATTTAAAAATTGTATTTTTTTTTTCATTGATAGGAAAAATGTGCTTTGAATCTAAATAGAGCTCTTTCAGTTCACACTTTTCCCTTTTGTTCTCCATATGGGACTGTCAGTAGACAGAAGGCAGCAGCTGTGTGCACAGAGTCCACTCATAGTGATCAAGTAGTCACTAAAAAAAGACAAAAACAGCTGTTTCAAATGTAGCATTTAAATCATGCAGTTAGAAATACGATTTGTAGTGTTTCCTTTTAAACTGAATTTGAAAAGGAATTGTAAAATGTTTTTATTAAATACTGCAATTTGAAAATGTGTTTTCATATTGGCCGGGGTGGACCAGTGCTTTTTTACCCATAATTATACAGCAAAAAGGTTAATAATGCACCATTCATTGTATTCAGTGAGCCATAAAGAAAGGTCACAGACCTCTGATGTGACAGATGAAAACAACAGACAACATTTTTGTTAAAGTAAACTGAAAAGATCAAAAATAAAGTTCCTCTAATTGGTACCATTCAGTTAGAATCTCTTCTCTTTGAACATACAATAAGAAATTATTTCAGTATTATCTTTTTAGTATATGGCCATAACAGGAACTAGTTCTACAGGGGCACTGGCCCCCGTCTAGAAACGCTCATGCTCAGCTGTAACCAGCTCTCTAATTGGTTAGACTGCCACACATGGTTCACAAACTAACCATTGCTTTTTTTTTTTTGTTCTTTTTTTTTTTTATCTCCATTTAGAAATGGGATTAGAAAAAACTTTTTCAATTTGGAGTATTTAACTATGGATTAATAGATAACTATGGATAATAGATTTTACCACCTCTTTTTGATAATGAAATGTATAATGAGCAAAAAAAATGTACACTGCAAAAATCATCTAAAATTAAGTAAAGAAATTCTTACATTGAGTGTATTTACCCTTATTTTTGATAGACGAATAAGATGATTTGCCAATGGAATGAGATTTTTACCTCAAAAACAAGGTAATTAGATGCACTTGAAATAAGACAAAGCAAATTTTTTTTCTTATTTTAAATGTAAATTGTGCTTTTTCCATTGGCAAAGTATCTCAATTACCTCCTCAATTCAAGAAAAAATGCATTTACTTTAAGAAAATTTACTCATTTAGATTTTCATTTTTTTTGCAGTGTATGATTTAAATGTTACATTTGAAATGGCTTTGACTCTCCTGGTCCTCCATAATATGGGTTTCCTACTTATCTGAACAAAACATTGATGAATCTGATGCAATTAATATCAAGTCAACAATTAGCACAAAAACTTGTATTTAAAACGTTGAGTGCATTTGGACAGTTCAGGTCTTCAACACGCTCATCTCAGATATTCTTACCTTTTTCTCCTTAATTGTCTTCATTAGGATGCAAAGCTTTTCTAAAGTAATAATCAGCGAGCCCTGAGATATAGGACCACATGTCCAACTGACGTCTGCGTAAAAAGGAGGAGTTTGGAAAAGTCACACAGCATAATTTTCAAAATGACTAAAGCAGCTCACTCTGCAGCTTCAGGGTCACCAGACGCATCCAGTTTTCCAACTTTACAGTGTTCTTCAACAAGAGATTGGATTTTAACGGATCAGATGCGCAATGACGGTAAAACGCGTGCTATTCATGAGCAGCTCATAATTCATGGATGTATATCCAAGAGGAGCCGCATCAATGTTAGTCAGGAAAATTAGAAAGAGGAGAGGCATTTTTCACATGGACAAACAAGCCATCTCTCCAGACTTTGCCTGCGCGGCTAAGAACTGCTTAGGTCCCACGGTGGATTTTCACCTGGATTAGATTCATTTGAAACAGTGGAACAAGAACTCAGACATGGATATCAGCAACAACTCCCTGCGCTATCTCCATGCGGAGTTCAACCCTCTGGCCGAAATCCTGGACGACAACGAAACCAACTCCACGCGCGGAGAGCGCAACTTTCTTAACTGCGTCCATATCCGGGTCCCTCAGGAACTGTTCCTGACGCTGGGTTTGATCAGCCTGGTGGAGAACATCCTGGTGATCCTGGCCATCATCAGGAACCGCAACCTGCACTCCCCTATGTACTACTTCATCTGCTGCCTGGCAGTGTCCGACATGCTGGTGAGCGTCAGCAACGTGGTTGAAACCATATTCATGCTCTTGAACGACAACGACCTCCTGGATGTGCACCCAGGCGCGCTGCGTCACCTGGACAATGTCATCGACGTGATGATTTGCAGCTCCGTGGTTTCCTCTCTCTCCTTCCTGTGCACCATCGCCGCAGACCGCTACATCACCATCTTTTACGCGCTGCGCTACCACAGCATCATGACCACGCACCGCGCCATCACCATCATCGTACTGGTTTGGCTCACCAGCATCACCTCCAGCATCCTCTTCATCGTTTACCACACCGATAACGCCGTAATCGTGTGCCTGGTTACCTTCTTCTGCGTAACCCTGGTGTTCAACGCTGCGCTCTACCTGCACATGTTCGTGCTGGCCCACATACATTCCCGACGCATCACTGCGTTTCAGAAAGGCCGGCGCCAGTCCACGAGCATGAAAGGGGCGATCACGCTCACCATCCTGCTGGGAGTCTTTATTTTTTGCTGGGGACCTTTCTTCCTCCACCTCTTCCTCATCCTCGCCTGTCCAAGCAGTCCCCTCTGTAAATGCTTTTTTCAGTACTTTCACCTTTTCCTCATCCTCATCATCTGTAACTCCCTCATTGACCCGCTAATTTACGCATACAGGAGCCAGGAGCTGCGTAAAACCCTAAAGGAGCTGGTCCTGTGCTGTTGGTGCTTTGGCATGTAACAGTCGTTTGCATCGGGGGAAATTAAGGCAAATTAGGTTCCCACGTGACTCTTTATTGATATAATTGTTGCCATGTGAATCTTAAGATCATGTTTTATTTGGTGGATTGATCCACAAGGTAAGCGCAACATAGGGCCAATAATAACATTTCCTAGTGCCAGCATGGAGCTGGATGAGTTTTATCTGGATATCCTGCCTTATTCATTGATGCTTGATGCCTATTGATTAATGCAGTTTCCAACATTTATCTTTTACATAAGGATCCTAAGTTAACCTGCTCGGTCAAGCCGTTTTAGCTGCTACTATGTTACTATAAAAACCAAATTCTCTTACTGAAATGATCCTCAGTTTAAATGCAAGAGATCCCAAGAATCTAAGCCAATGGAGGAAAATAGGCTCTGATTTCAAAATCAAAACAAACAAACAAACAAAAAAAAAAAACAAAAAAAACATTTGGATTTAAGTCCCAGTTTGTGAATCAACAATGAAAATAATACACTATATAAATGTGGGCCAGGGACTCCAATAAACAAATCTATTCGCAACCGATTATAATCCCCCCTAATTTATATAGGCCTATATTATAATAAAACTCAAATAATTTTCTTATTTGAAAATAACAGAGATTTAAACATTTCATTATTCATAAATAGGCTACATCAAACTGCATCCCAAAAAATAAATACAATACTTTGATATATGCCTAGGATTTTAAGCCCAAGACCACAAAATAACTTTTTAAATAGACAAGGAAGATACAAAGTGTGGATGCTGAAGTAGTAATAATAATAATAATGACACTATTACAATTATTAATATCTGTATATTTTTTGTTAGGAATAACTGGTTATAATCAAAGTTGATTAAACTGCCTTCAAAATGCCCCAGAAATGTTCCTTCAGTGGGAGACATCTCAGAAAACAGTGCTGACATTAAACGATTCTACAAAAATAAAAAAATAAATGGAACTAGAAAGGCCGAAAAGAGAGACAGAGAGAGGGGAGGAAACACTGATAGGAATAAAATCACATGAGCAGCCCACCGCCTGGGGCTCATAGCATGAGACATCTATGAGAGTTTGGCTTCTTGTTTTATTTCTGGCAACTCAGTTCTCAGAAATCAAGATTTGGTACGTTTAGTTTAGTCTCCTGCAATAAAATCATTATTAATAATATTGAAATAAATAATAATAATAATTATTGTTATTATTATAATAAAAATATAATAGTAATAATAATAATTATTATTATGGTTATTGTTATCATTGTTATTAAAATTAGTATGAAAATATTAATATCCATAATAATATTAATAATAATTATTATTATTAGGTGCTTGTCCACCAAAGGAATTCCAGTTTTATTCCTTATCTGCCTCGTATTCAACAGTTTTGCTTGTCATCATACAAAAATAATATTTAAATATTAAGTTTACAAGAACTAAGCCTATAAGAACAAGTCTCTGGTGTATTTACAGTTTTAAGTAAGCCTCCATCATAGGTTAAAGTGGGCCTTCATACTGTGATCAATAAAACTGAAATGTTTCAGCGTATTTTTAATAACAAAGCTCCCTTCCTTACTGATTTCTTGTCTCATCTATTTTTTTGTGCTTGAATGCGTTTTTTAATGTTCTCTCTTCTTTTTTGGTTTTCCACAATATAAGTTGTACATCTGTGTCAAAGATAAACACAAATTAGCAAAAATGATTCATGCAATTAAGTGAATAAACAGCTCTACCTTAAATAGGTCAAGCAGAAGCATTGCAGTTTTTTGTGCCTTTTCTTGTGTCTCAGATTCTGATGCACCCTTTAAATGTGAGGGCTTAGAAAGAGAGTGAGTCATTTTTACTTGTTAAATCATCTCAGTGATCATTTGTTTTATCTGTGTTTGATTGTGTTCATAGGGGTTGTTTTATCTTCTGTGAATGTAAAGTATTTCCAATACAAGCTGTAGTTTTTTTATTATTTGTATTATGCATGAAGTGGTCAGTGTGGTGCTGATATAAAAAGAGAGGCGAACTGTGGCTGATTACTTTTCTACTCTGTTTTTCATAATAAAACTCTTCACAAACATAATTTAATTTTTTCCAATGAGTCTTCATAAACTATAGTACAATCCAGAAGTATTCAAACACTTTAAATTCTTTATGTTTTAGTATTATTTTAACCACATATTTTAATGTGTTTTATTAGGATTTTATGTGATGATTCTTTTTTTTTCTTTTTTTTACAAATCACTATCTGAAAAGTTTCCTTCAGACCCAAATGCAGAGATGAGTTTGCAGAATAAATGGAGGTTCAACAGGCAACTGAGGCAATAATCCAGGAACAAAAACAAGAAACGAAAAATTAGGAGATGCCAGGGAAAAATGACACATGGGCTGGGTCTTCCAAAGTCGCGTTCCAAGTACAACTCACTGCAGTAAGCAGAAAGGGACAGGGACGGACTACTGTCCTTATATGGAAATGGGACCATTGCCCTCCGGAAATGAAGGGGGTGCTAGTGAAACTAGCCCCCTTTGAAATTTTTTATTTCAAAATTAAAAATACATAAAAAAATAGTAAAAAAATTGCTACAAAACGTGTTATGTCACATGGTATATCCCTTTTTTTATTTTTAAATCGTTATTTAATCGTTTATTGTTTTCGGATGTTTAAATTACATTAGTAACAATCTAAAATAAGCAACAAAAAAGAATCATTAAGGATATGTATTTATTTGCAGCGAGGTCCTTCTCACACTGTCTACCTGGACTGGATGCTTCGAAGTCCTTGAAAATAAGGACACCGGAAGTGTGTTGGCTGTGAATTCAAACAAGTCCAGCCTTCAGCGGCTTTTACGTAAGCTCTGTCACTTAGCAACTGTGACAGTTGACACATAAGGCAAGAAAAGAATGGATACCGAACTTTTCAAAACTGTTTCTTTTTAATTTTTTATATTGTAAAGTGAACAAAGATTTGACTTATGAGAATCCAGGATGGAATAAAGGTGACAACCCCCGGGAGCATGAACAAATAAAACTAAATGTAATGATAGAAACCTTAGTCAGTTAAATAACATGCTGCTGTCATTTTGCACATCTCTGATGTTGCTGCTGTTTTCAAATATCCATTACTGTAAAAATGTCCATAGATGCATATTGGTTATTTATTGTCCAGGTGCACATATTTATATTGTTAAAACACTTTACAGTACAGCATTTTAGTGTTTATATTTGTATCCTTCCCTATTATTTTATTCTGAAAATTTTTTTAAGGTCCGCATTTGTTTGAGCATTTTTTTTTAGTAATCTTTTTGCTGCTGTTCATTTTCCCATTGTGGGACAATAAAGATATTTCCTATTCTATTCTATTCTATTCTATTCTATTCTATTCTATTCTATTCTATTCTATTCTATTCTATTCTATGATATTATATTATATTATAT